ACTTAAAGGAACTTGAAAAAGAATGACAAGCAAAGTCCAAAGTAAGTAGAAGAAAGAAAAAAATAAATATCAGAGCAGGAAAAAAAATAGAGTCTAAAAAACTACAAAAAAGTCAATGAAACCAAGAGCTGGTTCTTTGAAAAGATAAACAAGATTGACAAATCTTTAACCAGACTTATTAAGAAGAAAAAAGGAGAGAGGACCCCCAAAAATGAAATCATAAATGAAAAAGAAGTTATAACTGACACCAAAGAAATACAAAGGATTATAAGAGAAATATTATGAACAAATATATGCCAACAAATTGGACAATCTGTACAAAATGGATAAATTCCCAGAAAAATATAACCATCCAAAACTGAATCAGAAAGAATCAGAAAATCTAAAAAAACATAGATTATAACTAGTGAATCTGAACAGTAACCAAAAAGCTCCTAATAATCAAAAGTCTGGGAGTACATGGCTTTGCAGGTAAATTTAACCAAACATTCAAAGAAGAGCTAACACCTAACCTTCTCAAACTATTTCAAAAAATTAAAGGCGAGGGAAGCCTTACAAGATCATTTTGGAAGGCTGTTGGGGCTCACCTTGTGTGGTATCAGGAACTGTGGCACTGTGCGAGCTAGGCCTTGAAAAGGGCCTGTAAGCTTCAATTAGAAAACTAGGAATGCTGGAGGCAGGCATGACTGGATACTGACACCGAGAGTATAGAGGGTACCCTGGGAGATCTGGCCTAAAGAATGCAATATAATTATTGAAGCTTGCTCTGTTTTGCCCTGCCCTGATGAGGAAAAACCAGGTGCTTGACTCACAGCAGGGAGAAACTTCCTGAGTCCCATCCAGTGCCCTCACGTCTGACAGACCCTGATCTAAATATCTATAGCCTTTTGATATGGATCAAGAAGCTTTGCATGCACACTGTATATCGCTGCACACATCATTATGAATAAAAGCCATTTCAGAGGAGGGCTGGGGCATTCTCCGCTAGTGAGAATCACTACTCTGTTTTCCTGACAAATTGTGTCTGGTACAATTATTTATTTATTTATGTATGTATTTATTTATTTATGCTTTTTAGCATTATAAGAAAGTTAATTTAAATAAAAAAGAGTAAACATTATCATTAAAATTTTTCAGACAACTCAAAACATAGAAAGAGAACCATGAAAATCACATATAATCTCACACTAAAGAAATGATAACTAAAATTTTGATGTAGGTGCAGGATTTTATCATACATAAATAAGCTTTTTTCATAATAGAGATTATTTTATGCATATGGTTTCTGTAACCTACTTTTCACACTTAATAATGTGCTGATTACATTATTTAATGTAAGTATAAAAGATTTATATCATAATTTTTAAGATACCCATAATATTCATTTGTCTCAGTACACTAATAGCTTAGTTAACTAAATCCCAATAATGGACATTTAAATTTTTTCTAATATGTTATGTTTTGTAAACAAGGCTTTTTACATACAGAGATGAGCAGGAAAGTTTATTATAATAAGAAAAAATAATACAATAATTAATAAATGCATAGTAATACAAGAATAAAGTGTTTCACATATTCACAATTGTAAATCTACTTTTGCCCACTCCTGTATTTGTCTAATTCACATATTTCTCCAGATTGGCCTGCAGTAAGTTTACACTAATCCATACTCACACCAACAATGCATTTCTCTGATTAATAATTTGATTGAACAGCTTTTTAAGTCTTTCTTAACTTTTTATGACATTACTATTCATGTTCTTCGCTCTTTATTTTGTTGAGTTGTCTTTTTCTGATAGATTTTTAAGAGTTTTAAAATATTAAGACTGTTTACTTTTTGTTGTATATGTTGCAGTTTTCACAGTTTGTTGTTTCTGTGTGTTGTGCAAAAGCTACAGATTTATATGTAATAAAATTTATTGATCTTTTAATTTATGGTTCCTGTCTTTTTTTTTTTACTTTTTTTTAATTCAAATACATTTGCCTCCACCTTCCCACCACCACTTTCCCCTGTCCCCCTCCCCTATCTCCCTCCCTCAATCCTTCCCCATTTTGGCTTTGTCTATGGGTACTCTATACCTGTTTCTTGTCTTGACCCTTTCCTTCCCTCCCCTTTCCTTGCCCCACCCTCCTTCCCTCTTAACTCTGTTGGTTTCTTTTTTGTTTCAATGTTGCTGATTGTATTTTCCCTTGGTTGTTTGTTTTGTTGGTTAGGTTCCACTTATTGGTGAGATCATACTGTGTTTGTCTTTGTCTTTCGCCCCCTGGCTTGTTTCACTTAGCATAACGCTCTCTAGTTCCATCCATGCTGTCCTAAAGGGTGGTAGCTCTTTCCTTCTGCTGCGTAGCATTCCATTGTGTAAATTTACCATAGTTTTTTGATCCACTCATCTACTGAAGAGCATTTAGGTTGCTTCCAACACTTGGCTATTGTAAGTTGTGCTGCTTTGTACATTGGGGTGCATAGGTTCTTTTGAGTTGGTGTTTTAGGATTCTTAGGGTATAATCCCAGCAGTGGCATCTCTGGGTCAAAAGGCAGTTTCATTTATAGCTTTTTGAGGAAATTCCAAACACAGTGGCTGCACCAGTCTACCTTCCCACCAACAGTGTACTAGGGTTCCCTTTTCTCTACAGCCTTTCCAGCACCAGTTGGTTGTTGATCTGTTTATGATGGCCATTCTGACTGTCTGAAGTGGTATATCATTGTGGTTTTTATTTGCACTTCTCTGATGGCTAGAGATGCTGAGCATTCTTTCATATGTCTCTGGGCTCTCTGTATCTCTTCCTTGGAGAAGTGTCTGCCCAGGTCCTTTGCCCATTTTTTAATAGGATTGTTTGTCTTCTTCAGGTGGAGTCATGTGAGTTCTTTATATATTTTGGCGATCAAACCTCGGTTTGATATATCATTAGCAAATATATTTTTCCATATGGTTGGCTCCCTTTTCATTTTGCTGATGTTTCCTTTAGCCATGAAGATGAGGTCCCACTTGTTTATTTTTTCCTTTATGTCCCTTGCTTTAGGGGACATATTGGTGAAAATATTGCTGCGTGAGATATCTGAGAGTTTCCTGCCTATGTTCTCCTCTAGGACTTTTATGGTGTTGTGACTTATATTTAAGTCTTTTATCCATCTTGAGTTTATTTTTGTGTATGGTGTCAGCTGATGATCAAATTTTAATTTTTTTGCATGTAGCTGTCCAGCTCTCCCAACACCATTAGTTGAAGAGGCTATTTTTATTTCAATTTATGCTTCTGCCCCCCTTGTCAAATATTAATTGACCATAGAGATATGGGTTTATTTCTGAGCTTTCTATTCCTTTCCGCTGATCTATGTGTCTGTTCTTGTGCCAGTACCAGACTGTTGATTATAGTGGCCTAGTAATATAGTTTGATGTTAAGTATTGTGCTCCCTCCTACTTTGTTTTTCTTTCTCAAAATTGTTGCGCTTGTTTGTTTCCATATAAATCTTTGAAATGTCTGTTCTATTTCTGTGAAATACGTCATTGGTATTTTAATAGAGATTACACTGAATCTATAATTTGCTTTGGGTAGTATGGACATTTTGATGATATTAATTCTTCCAATCCATGAACATGGTATATGCTTTCATTTATTTGTATCCTCCATAATTTCTTTCTTCAGCACTGTATAGTTTTCTGCATATAGGTCTTTTATCTCCTTGGTTAAATTTATTCCTAGGTACTTTATTTTTCTTGTTGCTATATCTAATAGTATTTTTTTCTGATTTTTTCTTCTGCTATTTCATTGTTGGTGTACAAAAATGCCTTTGATTTCTGAGTATTGACTTTGTATCCCGCTGTTTTGCCAAATTCACTCATTAGGTTGAGTAGATTTTTGGTGGAGTCTATAGGGTTTTCTATGTACACATCATGTCATTTGCAGACAATGATAGTTTTACTTCTTCCTCCTCAATTTGGATGCTTTTTATTTCTTTTCCTTGTTGGACTGTTGTGGCTAGGACTTCCAATACTATATTGAACAGAAGTGGTGAAAGCAGATATCCTTGTCTTGTTCCATATCTTAGTGGAAAAGCTTTTAGTTTTTGCCCATTGAGTATGATGTGGGCTGTAGGTTTTTCATATATGGCCTTTATTACGTTGAGGAATGCCCCATTTATTCCCATTTTGCTGAGTGTTTTGATCATAAGTGGATGCTGTACCTTATCAAATGCTTTTTCTGCATCTATTGAGATGATCATGTGGTTTTTGTCTTTCCTTTTGTTTATGTGATGTATTACATTTATTGATTTGCGTATGTTCAACCATCCTTGCATCCCTGGGATGAATCCTGCTTGATCATGATATATGATCTTTTTAATGTATTGCTGGATGTGGTTTGCCAATATTTTGTTGAGGATTTTAGCATCTATGTTCATCAGTGATATTGGCCTGTAGTTTTCTTTCTTTGTAGGGTCTTTATCTGGTTTTGGGATGAGGGTGATGCTGGCCTCATAAAAAGAGTTTGGGAGTCTTCCCTCTTCTTGGATTTTTTGGAATAGTCTGAGAAGCACAGGGATTAGCTCTTACTTAAGTGTTTTGTAAAATTCTCCTGTGAAACTGTCTGGTCCAGGTCTTTTGTGTGTCAGGACTTTTTTGATTACTGCTTCAATATCGCCAGCTGTTATTGGTCTGTTCAAGCTTTCTGTTTCTTCATTCAGTGTCGGAAGGTTTTACTTTTCCAGAAATTTGTCCATTTCATCAAGGTTTTCAAATTTCTTGGCATATAATTGCTCATAGTAATTTCTTACAATCCTTTGCATTTCTGTGGTATCAGTTGTTATTTCTCCTCTTTCATCTCTGATATTATTTATTTGGGTCCTCTCCCTCTTTTTCTTGATGAGTCTACTTAAAGGCTTGTTGATTTTGTTTATCTTTTCAAAGAACCAGCTCCTGGATTGGTTGATCCTTTGAATCATTCTTTTAGTTTCTATGTCATTCAATTCTGCTCTGGTCTTAATTATTTCCTTCCTTCTACTAGTTAAAAATATGAAATGCTTCACAAATTTGCATGTCATCCTTGTGCAGGGTCCATGCTAATCTTCTCTATATGGTTTCAATTTTAGTATATGTGCTGCCCAGTTAAGCATGCGTCTGGTACAATTTATTTCTTCATCCATGACAGCTGGGAAAACTCTGTGGGACAGAGCCTCCCTCAGAAGACCAGAATTATTATTATTCTAATTCCAAAACCAAGATACTACAAAAAAATGGAAATTATAATCCAGTATCCCTGATGAACATATGTCCATAAATCCTCAACAAAATACTAGCAAACTAAATCTAGCAATACATTAAAAAAAATCATACACCATTATCAGGTGGAATATATTCTAGGATGCAAGGTGGTACAATATCTGCAAATTAATAAACAATATACCACATAAACAAAATAAATGATAAAAACCATATGATCATATCAATAAATGCAAAAAATAATTTCATGAAATTAAATACTCATTTATGATAAAATCTCTAGCAAAGTTACCCAAAGAAATCTACAGATTTAATGCAATTGCTCAATGCAATTAAGATTCTAATGGCATATTTTGTAGAACTAGAACAAATATCGCAACAACTCCCAGGGAACAACAAAAGTCTCCAAGTAGTTGCAGAAATCTTAAGAAAGAACAAAGTTGGAGGAATCACAGTATCTGCTACTAAACTACACTACAAGGTCATAGTAATCAAAACAGCATAGTACAGGCAGAAACACAGACATATAAGTCAATAGAACAAAAAAATCCAGAAATAAATCCATATCTTTATGGTCAATTAATATTTCACAAAAGAGGCCAAAACATACAATGGTGTAAAGACTGTCTATTCAATAAATGGTGCTAGGAAAATCAGACAGTTATATGCAAAAAAGAAATTGAACTAGATCACCTTCTTAAACCATATACCAGAATAAACTAAAGAATGAAAGTTTTAACTGTAAAACTCAGCTAAGTTGGGGAGGTTAGGGGCTGAAGAGATTGAGCAAAGAGGAAAAAGGACTCATAGACATGGACAACAGTACGATGATTGCTGGAGGAAGGGGGGTATAAGAGGACTACATGGTAATGCAAAAAATAAAAATAAAAGTTGAAAAAAATAAATGTAAGACTTGAAACTGTAAAAATCCTAGAAGAAAACAGGCACTAAAATCTCAGATATTTCATTCATATATATTTATTCTTCACATAATTATATAAATATATAATTTCTTCTTGGGCAAGGGAAAAACAAGAAAAAAATTAAAAAATGGGACTACACCAAATTAAAAAGTTTTTGCACAACAAAGGAAACCAGCAACAAAATGAAAAAAAAAAAACCCAAAACACAAAACACCAAATGAGAGAACATATTCACCAATGATACATGATAAGGGGTTAATATACAAAATTCATAAAGAACTCATACAACTCAACACCAAAAAAGAAAAACAATCAAATTAAAAAATGAGCAAGTGATCTGAATAGATACTTCTTGAAAGAGGATGTTCAGATTGCCAATAGACATATAAAAGGTGCTCAATGTCACTAATCACTAGAAAAAATACAAATTAAAACCACAATGAAATATCACCACTCACCTGTAGATTAGCCACCATTAATAAATCAAAAAAGAAGTGTTGACAAGGATGTGGAGAAAGGGAATTCTCCTGCACTGTTGGTGGGAGTGCAGATTGGTGCAGGCATTGTGGAAAGCAGTATGATGTTACCTCATAAAATGAAAAATGGAACTGCATTATGACCCAGCAATTCCACCTCTAGGAATACACCCAAAGAAATCCATACCACTAATTCAAGAGAATATATGAACCACTATGTTTATTGCTGTGCAATTGATAATAGCCAAGATTTATAAGCAGCTCAAGTGTCCATCAGTAGAATAAAATCACAATAAGATAAAATCACACACCTATCAGAATGGCTGTCATCAATAAATGAACAAATAACAAGTGCCGGTGAGGATGTGAAGAAAGGGGAACTTGCTTGCACTGTTGATGGTAATGTAGACTGGTGCAGCCACTATGGAAAGTAGTTTAGAAATAGCTCAAAACATTAAAAAATGGACCTGCCTTTAGCCCAGTGATCCTACTTCTGGGAATATATCTGAAGAAACCCAAAACACTAATTTGAAAGAACATAAGCACCCCTATGTTCATTCAGCATTATTTACAGTTGCCAAGGTATGGAAGCAGCCCAAGTGTCCATCAATAGATAGATGAGTGGATAAAACAATTATGGGACATTTACACAATGGGATTCTACTTGGCTGTAAAAAAGAAGAAAATTTTACCATTTGCAACAGTATGGATGGATCTAGAGAATTTTTGCTAAGTGAAATAAGCTCATCAGAGAAAGACAAATACGATATGTTTTTACTCATATATGGAATATAATGAACAAACTAAACTAACAAGTAAAACAGAGACAGAGTCATAGATGGAGAACAGATGACAGCTAGTTGAGGGTGGTGACTTGGGTGTGAGGGATTGAGTGAAAGGGAAGAGGGACTCATGGACATGAGCAACAGTGTGGGCATTTCTAGAGGGGGGAGTATAAGGGGGCTACATGGTAATGGAAAAATACAATAAAAATTAATAAAATATGCTGTGGTAGATTTACACAATGGAATACGACTCAGTCATTAAAAAGAAGGAGGCCTCACCCTTTGTTACAGTATGAATGGATCTGGAAAGCATTATGCTAAGTTAAATAAGCCAGTCAGAGAGAGATAAGCACAATATGAGTTAGTTTTTATGTGGAATCTAAAGAACAAAATAGACTAACCAACAAAATAAATATAAACAGTCTCATCGATACAGAGAAAAGACTGGCACCTGTCACGGGGTAGTGGGTTTGGAGTGCTGGTTAAAAAAGGCGAATGGATTAAACACACAAACCTTCATAGATGCTGGCCAGTACAGTGATTAGCAGAAGGAAGTGGGGTCGAAGGGGGGATAAATGGTTATGGAAGTAGACATGACTCATGGTGGTAAACACACAATACAAGATATAGATGATATATTATGGAATTGTACACCTGAAACCTCTATAATTTTATTAACCTGTATCACTCCTATAAACTCAACAAAAATGATTGTTTTCAATGGCATTAATAGGTCAAGCCTAAAAAAACTTTTAAGGGTTTGGAAACACACTATCAAATAGTGTTTTTTAGAAGTTTATACTAATTTATAATTTTCCTGCAATGTTTTAAGACCCATACACTGAGTACTATGACATCTTAAATCTTTAGTTATTTGGGTATGACACTTTCTATATTTTTAAAAAAATCATCCTTCCACCCTTATTTCTGTTCTAAACCTTACTCATATAGCACCTAACCTTGGTTTAGTAGGCCAGTCGCTATTCTATAGGCCAGTCGATGTTCTAAGGACTTCATATATTATCTCATTGTATCAGCGCAGCTCGTGTTTAAGAAACAACTGAGTTTTCTATAAGTTTTAACATTTTTATGACACATCTTTATGTATTTTCTTTGTGAAAAAGTAACTACTATTCACCACTTTTGCTATTTTACTATTGAAATCTTTATTTTTTATTTAACTAATTAATTTATATTTGAATCTTTAATTGTGGTAAAAGTACTTCACATAAAATTTACCATCTTAACCATTTTTAGGTATATAGTTCTGTAGGGTTAAGAATATTCACAAGAACTATCATTTGGTTTTAAAAAAGGAAGGAAATCCTGTCACATGAATAAACTTGAGAATACTAGATTTAATTTACTTTGAATGATATATCCTTTTTATTATTATCAGTATTTTATTTTTAATATTCTAATAAAAGAAATGGAAAATAGGATTTGATTAACCAAAGTGTGTAACCTGTTACTTGATATCTATTTATTTCTGGGAGGAGGAAAACTGCATGTGAGAGTTGAAATACTCTTGTTTTGAAGTTTCAAAATTAGAATGTTTGACATCAACTGCAGAATCTGTATGTATCGATAGATAACAAAAACTTCCAGGAATAGTGGGAGCTACCTGATTTTCTCTTGTTAGAGTCAGCCCAATATTGATTGCCCTAAAAGCCATATTGATTTCAGTATCCACCGGAATATTTATTACCTCCTAAATATCATATCAGCTAAAATTCTGGCTTCCACCAGCCTATTTTCAATCATGAACCAGAGCTATTTTAGCTATTTTTTTAAAACCAGGAATTGGTAAACAAGGAGAACAAAGAGTATCTCAATGTTTAATTTAGCTATGTGTTAGATTTATATTCACGTCTAAATTTTGAAATACAAAGATGAAAATTGAAACTATATTTTTAGACCTTCTGCTCAAGTAGCTATATTGTTTTATACAGAGGCTATTTCGCAAATACTTTTCTTGAGCTACCTCTTAATCAGATCTTACTGCACCTCATCTTTCCCTAGGTTATAGGCCCTGACAGGCAAATAACTCAGTATACTATTTTTCTGGGCTATTGATATTAGTATGTATAGGTCATTTTGGTGTACAAATCCAAATGAATTCCAGTTTCCTAATACATAAAAATTCTTTTAAATAACCTAAGAAAATGCTCTCTCAAATACTGTTATTTATACCTTGGTAGCTGAAGAAAAAGGATATTGGCATTTTTATAGATTCATTAAACCAGCGGGGGTTGCTATGTTCTTTGTATCTTTCTATTAAAATAAAGTCTATATGAAAATTAATCTTAAAAACTAAAATTCTCTATACATTATTTATTCAGACATGAAATTGGAATAAGTTACTCCTCAAGGACCATAAGCTACAGCCTAATATTTGTTCCAGGAGGCAGAGATAAACAAAGCAACTGTAAGAACAGAACAGAAAATGTTTTATTTTCTAAAGCTGTAGGAACTGGAGATCAGAAATAGGTCTAAAAAAAAGGCAGAAAGAAATCCAGTATAATTTCTGAAGATTAATATTAATTGGTTGTGTATTATGACTGAGTAAAAAATAACTTCAAAGAACAAGTAATATATCCAAAAACTAAGAAATATTTAGCAATTACTTTGTAATGAAGAAGAAATAAAGGACTGGAAGTCAAATGTGACAAATCAAACAGTTGCACAATATATAAAGACTTGGAGGAGG